AGGGAGGAGGGGGAGGAAGAGGAGGAGGAGAGGGGAGAGAGGGAGGAAGAGGAGGAGGGAGAGGAGGAGGAGGGAGGGAGGAAGAGGAGGGAGAGAGGGAGGAAGAGGAGGAGGAGGGGGGAGAGAGGGAGGAGGGGGAGGAAGAGGAGGAGGAGAGGGGAGAGAGGGAGGAAGAGGAGGAGGGAGAGGAGGAGGAGGGAGGGAGGAAGAGGAGGGAGAGAGGGAGGAAGAGGAGGAGGAGGGGGGAGAGAGGGAGGAGGGGGAGGAAGAGGAGGAGGAGAGGGGAGAGAGGGAGGAAGAGGAGGAGGGAGAGGAGGAGGAGGGAGGGAGGAAGAGGAGGGAGAGAGGGAGGAAGAGGAGGAGGAGGGGGGAGAGAGAGAGGATGAGGAGGAGGAGGGGGAGAAAGGGAGGAGGGGGAGGAAGAGGAGGAGGAGGGGGGAGGGGGAGGAGGGGGAGGAGGAGGAGGAGGAGGGGGGAGGGGGAGGAGGAGGAAGGAGGCCGTGCAGGCCGCCGCTGGAGCTCAGGCCCCTGCTCGCTTCTCACCCCGGCTCTATTCTCGCAGGAAGTCCGGCTGCCCTGGCTATGGCCAAGGTTGGGGGTCGCACGGCCTGCTTCATCCTGCTAGGCTTGGCCATCCTGGTAGCCGTCATTGTCCTCACCAGCATCCTGGCCCCGCGCAGCACGTGCCCGAAGAGAAGCTACCCCACCGCTGCTGTGGCAGCCGACAGCAAACGCTGCTCGAACATCGGCAGGTGAGTGTGGGCGTTCTCCGGAGGGCCCAGGCTGGGCCCTGGGTCACTCAGGACCGGTCGCTCAGCTTGGTGTGCAGACTCAGGTGCCCGGGCTCTCTCAGGACCGATGTCTAAGCGTGCTCGGGGCTGGGGTCTGGTTCGGTCGGGACTAGCGTCTGAGTTTGGCCTCGTTGAAGGGCAGCAGCAAGCCCACGGCTGTGCCAACTGCCCAGCTGGAGCCTTGGGTCTCCTTAGCCTAGCTTGGCAAGGCAGATGCTCCCACTCGCCAGCAGCCAGTGGACAAGTAGGGTGGGTGGTGGTCTGTAGGACCCCCTCACCAAGACCAGGGCAGGGAATGAGAAAGACTCGTCAGAAAGGAAAGGGCCTAACATCATTTGTCTAAGAGCCCGCTTCTGGGTCCCGGGATCCCAGGTGAGAGCCTGACAACCCAGAGCATGGAACGTCTCAGGAGTTCAGTTTCATTCACTTCATTTCAAGCAGCTCACGTGTCCCAGAGCTGGAGCCCCACCCCAGCCTCTCCCCTGAGCTCCTGGCACACGTTGCCAGGTGCCTGTGGTGTCCCCCGGCACATGAAGCCCAGCGTGCGGTGAACAGGAAGGCTTCAGTCGGCTCCCTCCCTGACTCCGCTCTCTTCCCTGTCAGGGGCACTCCCATCCCCCAGTCACCCAGCTTCATGACCTGGTGTCATCCTCATCCTTCCCATGGCCAAGCCCTTTCCTGTCTAGCTTCCCATCTCTCCTACAGACAGGGGTTCCCTCTGCTCCCACAGCCACCTCTTGCCAGGATCAGTGCAATGGCCTGTCCCCAGTTGGCCTCCCTGACTGGAGCCTCCATCCAGCTGCCAGGCATCCTCCTAAAGCACTGGAGTGACCCAGAGGCCTCTGGGATCCAATGCAGCCACCTGCCCTACTCTCCCTGGCTTTGGGGCAAGCTCAGGCACTGTTCTTGGGGACAGTGTGTGAAGGGGTGTACTGGGTCACCGGCCTGGGGAGGTCAGCTGGAGCCTGGCTGAGGGACTTTCAAGGAAAGCCCAGTGCCCGAGGACATGAGGCTAAAGTTGTCTCTCCATCACCTGTGAGGATCTGGATGCTGCCTCAGCCACGATTCCCAGCGGGGACTCAGTCTGGGTCCCCAGCTTCCTTTGCCCCCTCTAATCAGGGCACAGGCTCTGACATCAGCAGCCTCCACAACAGAGCAGAGGACTGGGAGAGCAGGAGGGGACTTCAGCGGCGTCCAGACCCTCTGTCCCTGACCGCCACGCCCCTCGAGAGCGGGCGTGGTGAGAGGACACCCAGCCTCTGTTTGGAGACCTCCAGGGACAGGCAGCCCAGTATGCTCTGGGACAGTGCTCGGGGTGGGCCAGGCAGAGCCAGGCTAGCCTCTCCAACTTTGGGCTACCTGAAGACAGCTCTCCTGTCTCTCCTTCAGGCTGAACACGCCTATTTTCTCCAATTGCTCCTCATTGGGCATGAATTCAAGGCCCACCCCATCCTGGTCACCTCCTCTGGACTCAGTCATGGGGCCCAAAACTGACCCCAGCGCTCCAGAAAAGGCCTGACGAGGGAAAAGGACAGAGGGACCACCCCCCTCCCTCCTTCTGGGAACTCTCCCCCTCCTAGTGCAGCCCAACCCAGGGCTGACTTTGCAGTCCATAAAGACCCCAGGATCTTCTTCAGATCAGCTGCTGTCTATTCATATCTCATCTCCCTCATCTAATATTTGTGGAGGTGATTTTTTGAACCCGTGTGCAAAGTTTTACACTTATCCCTGTCAAAGCATCTTCTTACAGGTTCAGCCCAAGGCTCTGGCTTGTCAGGACCTTTTTGGATACTACTAACCCCCTAGACCCTGCCAGTTAAACAGCACAGGGCTAGGCACAGAGCCCGGGGACCCTCCTCTAGACACCTGCTTCCACACTGACATGACAGCTTCTCGATTCTTACCTGTGGCTAGCTCCGAAGCCCTCTCTGTCCTAGCGTCTCTACCGCACCTCTCCATCGCTTCCCGGTGGCCCAGGAGAGACTCAGTCAGATGCCTTGGGCAAACCAGGGCTGACCTGTCCAGAACCCTCCCCCTGCTCCCTCCCTCTTCTCTGAGCCCCTGCTCCATGAGGCAGGTCGCACAGCTGATGAAGAGAAAGAGTCCCTCGCTGATTCTGAGCCTTGGGATATCCAGATGTTCGGCGAGGCTCAGATGTTTGCTTGCTGGCCTGGCAGGGAAGGACTTCTCCTCTAGATGGGTGGCCCCAAACGAGCTGCCCTGGGGGTCTCCTTCTGCTCCCTTTGATAGGCTGATTCTGGGAGATGAGAATGACATTTTACAGCTGGGTAAACTGAGGCTCAGAGTGGGAAAATGGCTTGGACAAGGACATGCAAAGAATCTACACTAGCTCTCCGAGGGGGTGTGTGTGTGTGTGTGTGTGTGTGTGTGTGTGTGCGTGCGCGCGCGTTTGAATTCTGGATCTCCCCTGCCCCACCTCCAGCTGTGTGGTGGGGCCTCAGTTTTCTCAGCTATGAAATGAGGGGTTGGGCCTTCGAGCCCTGAATCTCAGATTGTGCCCTGCCCCCTGGCTCCACCTCCAGGGACCCCCACCAGCAGACCTGGCCTTGGAAGTGGGCTGTGGTCGGGGGGAGCAGAATCACTGGGCTAGGCAGTTGGGCCGCTGGCTTCCCAGCGTCCCTCTTCGGCTCTCCTCAGATGCTGGGAGGCTGGACCTGGGACCCAGGACGCCTGGCCACTAGCTCCGGGGGGAGGGCAGATCATACGTGTCTAGCCCAAGGCAGCTCCGTGTGGTTGGCGTCTACTGTTTGCGGCAGCGGCTTTGTGTCCATCGTCCCCACGCCAGGCACTTATGGGGGGGTGGGCTCTGAGAAAAACCGCAGAACAGCCCAAGGCTTGGGGAAGGCCCCAAGGAGAGGACACGCACTATGGAAAGAGGAGCCGTTATGATCAGTCTTGTGAGGCAGCAGCAGTTCTCCAGTCTGGAGGACCCTGCTTCTGTAAAATGGGGGTAGCCTTGCGCCTCCACTATGTGGAATCCTATTTGTAGCACCTTGCAACCTCGAGGTAGTGTGTGCGAGTACTAACTGCTATTAGGTTAGAGCGATGTCTCATCTGGGGCCTCCCAGCCTGGCAGATTCCTCTCCCATCCCCGTGCCCCCATCTCCCGGGAGCCCTCTGGGACTGACTGACTGGCGGGGGCAGGGCTGCTGGCTCTGCCCTGCCCTGCCCTCGCCCTCCCTTGGCTTTCTGCCAGCTGGCCCCGGGCCTGGGAAGATGGGGTATCCCTGGACATTCAAGGTAGTTTCCAGTCCTACACCCAGGGACTGTAAAGTACCTGGAGACAGCTCAACCTAGTTCCCTCTCAGTGACTCCATTGTTTCCTCTGTCAGTGGTGGGCACGAGCCAGGGCTAGGGGGGTGAGGCTTGGGGGCAGCTCCCTCCCCTCACCCAACCTGGGGACCTTTGCGGTGCCCTGCACCCTGACAGGAAGTTCAGCTAGGGTTTGTGGTACTGTTGGGCCCACCCCGTCCCCCCTCTGTCTCTTGGTGTGTCCCGATCTCTGCATCTCTGTCTTTGCCTGTCTGTCTGTCTCTGTCTATCTCTGTCTCTCTGTGTCTCTGTCTCTCTCTCTCACACACACACACATACACACACGCACACACACATACACACACACGCACGCGCACACACACACACCCCATCACCATCACCGTCTTGTGTCCTGGGCTAGCATCATCTCAGCCTCTCCGTCCAAGGCTCCTGGACCACTCCGTGTGGACTCCAGAGTGGCCTGCAGCGGCAGCGATAGCCCAGCTGGCTCCTGAACCACTATATTGGGACACGTGTGCTTGGCCTCCTCCAGAAAGGCTGCCAGAACACCCTGAGCCTGCATTGCTCACCTGCCACTGCGTGGTCTGGTGGGGGAAGTGGTGGGATGTTTCCCCACATGATGCAAAGGAGGGGTCTATAGTTTTCTATAGCTGTCAGCTCTTTTCTCAGTCTGAATGACCGCCTCTCTCCCCTCCCCCCATGTGCCAGCCTCAGCATCTCTGGCCTTCAGCATCCCCCCGCCCATGGAGCTCTCTGCCTCCAAACTCTCCCAAGCTAACTCTTCCCACTCACCTTCCCAAGGGGATTCTCAGGCTCCACGACTGGCAGAGGAATGGGGGTGTGGGAAACAATGTGTGTCCAGGCCATAGGATGTGGGGGGGCAGGGAAGCACAGAGAAGGAGCTCTCTCTGCCCCGGCTCTCCAGGCTACAAGGATTCATGGCAGCCAACAACCCTGGTGCTCCTCTCGTGGCCACCACAGGCAGAGCCTTGGGTCACGGCACCCAACGGTTGGCGCGGTCCCAGCCAGGGAGCTCACCAGTCTGGCGCCAGCAGGAAGCCTCAGGGAGACCTGGGTGGCTGCCCGCCCCCCAACGGGGAGGAAAGGGAGCTCTGAGCCTCTAAGTGCCGTCCAGCGTCAGCATGTCCCTGCCCCATCTTTCCTGAATCATATCAGTATCACCCTGAACCAACTCCCCTCGTCAGAGGGTGGGGCGAGGGCCCTGCTTCCCCAAAGAACCCAAACAACCAGAGGCCGAGCATCTCATCCAGACTGTGGCTCCATCCGTGGCAGGTAGCCATCCTGTCTCTGTTGACAGCAAAGTCACTCCCTCAAGAAGGAAGCCGTGCCATTTGTTGAGTGAATGAATGGATGGATGAGTGAATGAATGAATGAGTGGATAAAAGTATGAGTGCATGAGTGAATGAATGAATGAATGAATGAGTGGATGAGTGAGAGTGAATGAGTGGATGAATGAGTGAATGAATGGACGGATGAATGAATGCGTGGCTAAAAGTATGAGTGAGTGAGTGAATGAATGAGTGGATGAAAGAATGAATGAGTGAGTGATTAAATGAGTGGATGAATGAATGAGTGAATGAATGAGTGAGTAATGAGTGAATGAGTGGATGAAATGAGAGTGAAGGAGTGAGTGAGTGGGTGGGTGAGTGAATGAATGAGTGGATGAATGAGTGAACGAATGAGTGAGTGAGTGGGTGGGTGAGTGAGTGAAGAAGCGCTTCATTGGTACTTTTGTGTGCCAGGCGCTGGGCAGTCCCTGTCCTGAAGGAGCCAGCGCTCTAAGACGACCTGGGAGAGGTTTCAGCAGAGTACCCTGGAAAGGTCACATGGTCCTGAGGGGCAGTAGCAGAGCACGAGGCCTTGTCTCATCTTTAGTAATGTTTCCGCTGATGAGGATGAGGAGGATGCCTAATGTTTACATGGCACCTACTATGTGCCAGGCACTGTGCTAAGCATTTTACAATTATCTCATGTCGTTCTCATAATCACTGTAGGAGGTACGTGCTATTATCTTACCCATTTTAGAGATGAGGACGCTGAGGAAAATAGCGGTTAAGTGACCTGCCCAGGGTCATACAGCTAGTTAGTGTCTGGGGCACCACAGCACGCGGAGCTCGGCACTTGGCATCACGAAGACCTGAGTTCTAATTCTGTCTCAGACACTGACTAGCTGGGCAACCGGACAAGTCATTTCATCTCCATCTGCCTCGGTCTCCTCATCTGTACAGTGGGGACAACAAGCAGAGATCCCTCCCAGTGAGATGATGTTGGTAAAGTGTTCTGTCAAGGTGGAGATGACAAGTCAGGGAAGGGCTGGACGAGGTGGCCTCTGGGGCCCTTTGCACCCACCTCCCTACACTGGGGAGGGACCCTGGAGGTCACCTGGTCTATCTCCTTCATTTTACAGTGAAGGAGGCCCACAGAGGTTAAATGACCCACCCAGGATCACACAGATATTTGGAACGGACCTTAGCCTCTCTGGCCTCAGTTTCCTCATCTGTAAAAGGGGGGTTGGACCAGACCGCTCAGAGCTCCCTCTAACACTAGCCTGGGCTCCCCAGTGCTCTTTCCTTGCAGCTCTGCCCTCTTGGTGTTGAGAAGCCACCCTTCCTGCACTTCCCTATGGGTCAGACAGAAATCAGATCAGTTCCCTGGCCTCTCCTTTCACCTTCCCCTGAAGCATGGAGGGGACAAGGCCAGCACCCTGCCCTTGGGCCGTGAGTCCAGGTTCCCCTACGCAGAGGTGAGCTAGGGCCCAAGAACGTCCCAAGGAAAGTCTTGTCTTTTCCCTGGCCCAAGCTGAGCTCTCCACAAAGGAGGCCAGAGGGAGACAGAATTCTGGATGGTACAAGTCCTAGGACAGCCTTGTTCTGGATAGTGGAGGTCCAGATGAGCGAGGCTAGCCCATGGGAGCTCCCGACTTCCACCAGTGGCTTGGGTCTCCAAAGCTCAGCTCTGGCCACATCTCCCTTCAGGACTCCTTTCTCAAAGTGCCGCATGCTGTCTTCTCTCTGTCCAGGTGGGATCTCCCATACCCAGAGAAGGTTGGCCCCTGGAGGGCAAGGCCTAGCACACAGTAGGTGCTTAGAGTGCTGAACTTAGAGACAGGAAGACCCAAGTTCAAATCCCACATCAAATACTTCAGCACTGTGTGACCCTGCACAACCCCAACTCTATGCCTCAGTTTCCTCATCTGTAAAATGGGGATAACACTAGCTCTTGAGGCACGGGGTTGGTGTGACGTCTGACAAGTTTACACATTTAAGAGCTTTGGAAATCTTTGAGCTCTGTATCAATGTATAACCACCTTCCCTTCCCACCCCCGGCCCGTTATTCCTGGCCAAACAAAACAGGAGTGACCCCCCTCACCACAACTGAACTCAGCCCTGAGCTTTCTCTTCTCGGGGATGACGACCACCACCACCATTCTCTACGGGCACTCCTTACCTGACCTAGACTCCCAGACCTTCCCCTGCTTGGCTGGACTCCTCAGCCAGGCTCAGGGCCCTGGTACCTGGCACCTCCCAATGCCTAAGCCGTCAGTCACCCAAGGGTGTCTCCCACATAGAAGAGGGCCGTGCTGTTCAGTTGTGTCTAACTCTTCCTGACCCCATTGGGGGTTTTCTTAGCAGAGATACTGGAGAAGTTAGCCATTTCCTCCTCTAGCTCATTTTACAGATGAGGAAACTGAGGCAGACAGGGTTAAGTGACTTGCCCAGGGTCACACAGCTATTCAGTGTCTGTAGTCAGATTGGAACTCATGAAAGCGAGTTTTCCTGACTCCAGGCCCGGCGCTCTGTCTGCTGCGCCACCAAGAGCATCTTGGAGAATGAAGTCCCTTGGGAAGCCTTGCTAACAATAAGGCTGGTGGAGGCCACGGATCCAGCTGAGCCTGTGGCCTGGCCTCTCCTGATCAGCCTTGGTCACGTGCCCACGGCCGCTGCTGACAGAGCTTCTCTCGGCCTCCCCCAGGGACATCCTGAAGCAAGATGGCTCCCCAGTGGACGCGGCCATCGCTGCCCTGGTCTGCACCTCGGTCATCAACCCTCAGAGCATGGGCCTGGGAGGCGGGGTCATCTTCACCATCTATAATGCCAGCACAGGTAGGTGTGTCCCCTGCCTGCCCTGGGCTATGGTCCTCCCCGCCCAAGCCCCCCGTCCTCTGGCCTGATCCTGAGGTTCCCTCACTGCTGTGGCCATCCTGGCCCTCGGTAGACCGTGTGAGGGCACAGAGGGAGCCCTGGGCTGCCACTCCCTCCTCCTCCTCTGGGATCAGTTTCCTCTTCTGTAAAATAAGGGGAGGGAGAGGCTAGTCGATCCTTGCCTGCCCTGGATCCCAGACCCTTTCAAAGAACCTGGAGAGCCGGTGTGGAAGGACATGGATGAAACCACTGAACCTCGGAGGGCCGTCTAAGAGGAAGGGGTGCTATCTGCAGCGGCGGAGGGCCTCCATACACCAATTACATTGTAGCGTTCCCAGATTAAAGCTAATGGCGAATGCACACCGCCTTGGCGGGGGGAGGGGAGAGATGGGGTGAAAATGTGGAACTCAGAATCTTGTGGAAGTGAACATTGGAAACTTAAAATAAATTAATTTAAAAAAAGCTAATGGTGATATGGGGTGGGGATGGGGGGAGCTTTTAATCTGATCCCACCTCCCCTCAATTCCTTCAGAGCCGGCAGGGCAAGGAGAGGTCATGACCCTCGGGGAGGAGGGAGTCTCTGACTTGGAGGGTGGCAGGGTCCCTCTAGGGCGGTCTGGCCCCAGTGGGTGAAAGGGTGGGGGTCAGGGCAAGGCTGACAGTCTGTGCATCTCCAGGAGAGGTAGAAGTGATCAACGCTCGGGAAACCGTGCCCAAGACAGTCCCCCTGACTCTGCAGGAGCGCTGTAAGAAAGATAAGCCACTGGGAAAAGGTGAGGTCTGCCAGGCACCCAAAGAGGAGCCTTCCCTTCCCTTCCCTGGGCTTCAGCAGGGCCCTAAGGTGGGGGCGGGGCCATTCAGGAGGAGGAGGATGGTAACGTCCATATCTGTGATGCCTCAAGTTGTCAGGTGCAGTGATTACACCATTTTGCAAATAGGGAAACTAAGTCCGGGAGGTGCCCAGGGTCACACAGCTCAAGGTAGAATTCCAACCCGGGTCTCCCGACTTCTCTGGCCTCCGCTCCCTGCTTGTGTGACCACCCTGCAGCCTCTGAGATCAGTGTGAAGGTGTGGCCCTCCGGAACAAGCACCCAGTCTGGAGCTGCATGGGGCACCTCCCGTTCTAGCGAGGTTTCCCCAAATGTCCCTCTGGGTCCTCAGTGACTTCCCTACCTGAATTCTGTAACTAAGACTCCCAGCTGTTCTGGAGGAGATGGAGACAGGGGTGAGATGGGGCTGCCCAAACAGGAATGGCCGGTGTCTATGCCAGGTCCGGCAGCACGGAAGGGCTCCAGTGGAGACCACAGAGATCTGTGCTTGGCCCTGGGGGCTCACTAAAGGCAGGGATGACATAGCCGCCCGGTCTGCAGATAACGAATCTAGGAGCGGGGGCTGACACAGTGAATGCCATGGTGAGGATTCCAAAAGATTCTGACAGGCCAGAGCGTTGAGCTGGAGCGTATCAGATCACAAACTTTCATTTGGATACAAAGTCAACTTCCCAATAAGGTAGAGGGGAGACCCAGTTAGGCAGCAGAGCCGGGGGTCTGAGAGGACCACAAGCTCCCTAGGAGTCAGCATGAAAGCTGATGCCATCTTGGGCTGCATGAAAAGGGGCAGAGCTTCCAGGACTGGGCAGGGGACAGTCTCTCTGTGCTCCACCCTGTCAGCCCGCACCGAAAGGCTTGCACTCGGTTCTAGGTGCTACAGCTTAGGAAGAGCACATTTGAGCCAGCGCGGCTCCAGAGGAGGGCCACCAGGATGGGGAAGGTCCATGCAGAGTCCACATGAGAAGAGCATCGGTTAAAGGAAGCAGGCTTGTTGGGGGGAGGTGGCCAGGGTCAGGGCATGGTGCCTATTTCAGGTATTAGAAAGGTTGGACCCAGAGGGCAGAGCCAGGAGCTACAACGAGGCTGAACCTCCTACTTATGGGAGCCGTCCCAGAGTGGAATGGGCTGACTGTCAGGTAGTGAGCTCCCTGTCTCTGGCAGTGTCCAAGCAGCAGCTGGACAGCTGTTTGCTGAGTGTGTTGTGGAGTGGTTTTCAGGTCTGGGTTGGCCTCCCTGCCTCCCCCATCTGGCTCAGACTCAGAGGATCCTGTGAATCCCCCCTTCCTGGATTTGCAGACACTTGGGCCTCCCCCCGCTGACTCCCACATTCGGCTGGTTTTCACACAGGGGCCTATTGGATTGGAGTTCCAGGAGAGCTCCGAGGTTACCAGCTAGCACACCAGCGCCATGGTCGCTTGCCGTGGGCCCAGCTGTTCAAGCCCACCATCCGCCTCCTCCAGGAAGGCCTCCGAGTCCCCAAGGTCCTGAACTTGTTCCTCAACAGCTCTCTTCTTACTCAGGCCATATATAACTCCTCTCTTTGGTGAGCAGGGCTGGGGATGGGGTGGGGGTCATAGAAGGTCCGAGCCCCTCATTTGCAGATGAGGAAACTGAGGCAGCCCAGAGAGGTGGGTTGGGGGCAGCAAGACCAGCCGCCTCCTTCCTCAGGGTCTCCCTCTAGCAATCTCAGGCCACAGAATGTGCCACCAGCGCCGTCGGCCCCAGCCTGGTGCTTGTGCTCGAGGCTTGCATCTGGCCTCTCAAGGCTTCTCACTCACATCCCTATGGAGACTGGAGCTCCCACAACAGTCCCCTCCCAGGGTCTCCCATCTGCAAGTGAGCAAAGCCCAGCCCGGTTGGGGGGTGGCAGAGCCCTGACTTCCGTCTCTCCTTTGTCCCCACCTGCCCCTTGCTTTAGATGTCTGCTGCCCCACCCCCACCCCTCCGGGCTGCATCAGCTGCAGGTGGGAGCTGCTGAGTGGGTGTCACTAGGGATGGTCATGGGGAGACATTCTGGGGCAGAGAGTGCAGTGTGGCTCAGCTGGGGTGTCAGAGGAGTTAGAACAGGGAGCTGCCTGTGCTAACCGGGGGCAAGGAGCACGGGTATTGTGGGTCACACAAGTCCCTGCAGCGGGTGAGCCGTGCGCTGGCTGAGAGTCGGCTTGGACCCAGGGAGAGGCGGATGACGGCTCACAAGCCTCCTCTGGGCAGGACATTGTCCTAGTAGGCAGAGGAGACCCAAAATGTGGAGAAGATGAGGCCTCTGACCCTCCCCACCATGCCTACAGTCTCACCGGGGTGAAGGACAGAGGAACTCACTGGAATACTTAGCAGGAGACAAGTACATTGGAGAGGGCAAAACAGCCTGGTGTGGCCTGAGGGGGCACTGGGCAGACAGGGAAGGCTTCCTGATGGAGGAGTCATCTTTACCAGGATTTAGAGCATGGGCAGGCAAAGGATGCAGGGAAAAAGGAGGGAAGACAGCCCAGGCACAGGGAGCAGTTCCAGTGAGTTCCCAGAGGAGGCTGATGGCCAAGCTTGACTGGGGGCAGAGAGATTTCCCCTTTGGCTGAAGCAAAGAGAGTGGAGGAAGGGGGGGGACATGAAATAAGGCTGGCAAGAGGAGGGGGTGCCAGGCAAGATGAGGGAGCGCCAGGTAAGATGAGGGGATGCAGGGGCAGCTAGGTGGCGCAGTGGATAGAGCACTGGCCCTGGATTCAGGAGGACCTGAGTTCAAATCCGTCCTCAGACACATAACACTTACTAGCTGTGTGACCCTGGGCAAGTCACTTAACCCCATTGCCTGCCCCCCCCAAAAAAAACGAGGGGGCACCAGGTAAGATGAAGGGGTGCCAGGCAAGATGAGGTGGGAGGGATATTGTGAGTGCATCAGTATGTAACAAGGAGTCTCCTGAGAGTGGCCAAAAGCTGGATTGGAGGGCAGAGGAAGGAGGTGGGAAAACCTCTCCTGGGCCAGAGGGTGGCTACAGGAGGCTGCAGGGACAGAGTAGAGAAGATCTGGGAACAGAAGGGACAGAAGGAGAAGCTGGCAGCCAGGACAGATGGGAAGAGGTCCAGCTCAGGAGAGAGGTCAGGGCTGCAGATGTGACTCCTGGGCATCATCTGCGAAGAGGTTGCAATAAGAGAGATGACCTAGGGAGAGGAGCCCAGAAGAGATCTGGGGCCACCTACGCTGAAAGCTTGAGGAGAAGATACAGATCTTATCTGGGAGACTGAGGAGTGGGCAGAGAGCGGGGAGGAGGCTCAGGAGAGGAGGGAGGGGAGCGAGCAAAGAGGGGAGGCCGGGTCAGCAGTATCCTCACCTTTGAAGGGTGGAGGAGGACGAGGCAGGAGGCAGCCGACTGGAGGGGTCACCTGTCTACATGGTTCTGGCAAGGACCACCCCTGTCCTCAGGACGTTGTAGCGTGACACCTGGCCCTGATGGAGTCATGAGGTGTGAGTTCCAGCCCAGGCTTTGTGTGACCCTGGGCAGGTCTCGTGCCCTCTTGGGGCTTCATTTCCCTCCCTGGCTTCTCTGGTGCCCTTGTGCCCCTGACAACCAGGGGCTGTTACCCTCTGCCTTCCTAGCCAGCTCTTTTTCAATGGGAAGAAGCCGTTGGCAGAAGGCGAGTCTCTGCTGAGGCCCGAGCTGGTGCATACCCTGGACAGCGTGGCGGAGAAGGGCGCTGATGAATTCTACGAGGGCTCTCTAGCTGAGGATCTTCTGGAGGACCTCGCCATGGAAGGTGGGCTTCGCGCCTCAGCCAGAGACAGCCAGAGAAAGCCGCTGTCCGGACAGCATCCGTGCTCCCTCTGGAGCGGCACGCTGCCCTTGGGCGAGAGTGTGCTTTGAGATCCTAGAACGAAAGGCACTAGGGAAGGTGATGGTCTGTGTCCCGAGGCCCGCTAGGGGGCCCTCCTCCCTCCCACCTGATTCCTGGCCTTTCCTCACCTGGTGGAGAGGGAGGGAGACTAATGCTGGGAAGGCAGGAGGTCGGTCAGTCAGTCAACAAGCATTTATTAAGTGCCTGCTGTGTGTGTGTGCCAGGCCTGCAGAGGGGGCTGAGCTGTCACTCAGGGGCCGGCCACGACCGCATTGGGAGAGGAAGAGGAGCTGCGGCTTGGCGGGGCGGGGTCCTGCTTGGGGGAGGGGGTGCAGGGAGCAGGGTCAGCTGAGGGTTCAGGGGGTTCAGAGGAGACCCAGGGCTGACTGAGACGGGCGATGGGGGCCCCAGAAGTGACCCTTCTGCCTCCTGCCCCCCCCAGGAAGCGTACTGACCAAGGAGGACCTGGCCGGCTTCCAGGCCGAGGTGGTCAAGCCTCTGACCCTGAGCCTGGGGGACTACACTCTGTACTCGCCCCCACCCCCCGCCGGAGGGGCCATCCTCAGCTTTGTCCTCAATGTGCTCAAAGGTGAGCAGGGCAGGGGGGCGGAGGAGGGCGAGGTTCAGGTGCCCACCTGCCTGGCTGCTCCACGTGCCCGGGAGAGTGGAAGCTCCCCGAGGGCGGGGCAGTCTGGGAGGACTGAACTGGGAGCTGAGAGCGGGGGAGGGGTGTGCCGGGAGGGGAGGGGGCGGAGAAAGGAGGAAGGCGGGGCTCACGGGCCTCCACTCCGCCCCCCGCCACCTCCCCGCCCCCGGCCGCCTCCCCCCCATTCGCCTCCGCCCCTTTCTTTGCTCTCACTTGGCTGCCAGCCCAGACGCCTCCCAGATGCCCTTTACCTCGGGGGCCGCTACTGGAGGGGATCTGAGACATGGAGAGGAGGAGAGAGTGAGGGGTGATGTCTAGGGGTTGTGAGACACAGAGAAGGGAGAACAGGGACCTCCAGGTAGCGCGGTAGATGGGGGCACGCTGGATCCGGAGCCAGGAAGACAGAGTTCCAGTGCAGCCTCAGACACTGTGTGACCCTGGGCAAGACCTGCCGCCTGCCTCAGTTTCCTCATCTGCTAAATGGGCATAATAACAGTGCCTCCCTCCCTCACAGAGTTGTTGTGAGGATCAAAGGAGATGTATGTATAAAGCGCTTAGTGCAGCGCCTGGCGTGCAGTAGGTGCTCAGTAAAGGCTGGTTCCCTTCTCCCACCCTCCTCCATTATGTCAGTGAAGCTCCAGGTGAAGTCCTCCGGAGAGGTCTGTCAGATCTGCAGTGGGTTAGAGCCATAATGAGGAAGGCAGAGAGACCTGGAAAGACAACAAGCATTTATTAACCTCCTACTGTGTGCTAGGCACTATGCTAAGCGCACAAAAAGGCCAGAAAGGCCCTGCTCCCTATCTATACAAGCAAGCTCTAAGCAGGATAAAGGAGCTAGTGAACAGAGGGAAGGCCCTGGGATTTGGAGGGGCTGGGGCGGCTTCCTGGAGGCGGTGGGACTGTAGCGGGGACTTACAGGAAGCCAGGGCAGTCAGTGGTGGGAGAGGTCCAGCGGGTGGCACAGCCGGAGAAACGGCCGGTGGGATGCAGGAGGCTGTGGTCATCTCAGACACTGGAGAGGAGGAAGGTGTCAGAAGACTGGAAAGGGAGGAGGGGGCGGGTATGAAGGGCTCTGAATGCCACACTAAGCATTTTGTATATGATACTGGAGGCAATAGGGAACCACTGGAGTTATTGAGTGGGGGGAGTGACATGGTCAGACCTGGGCTTTAGAGAAATCACTTTTGTGGGTGAAGGGGGAGAGACTGAGGCAGGCAGACCCCCCCACTCCCCAGCAGCTATTGCAATAGTCCAGGCCTGAGGAGATGAGGGTCTGCCCCAGGGTGAGGGCAGTGTCAGAGGAGAGAAGTGGAGGTAGTGAGCACCCTGTCACTGGAGGTATCCAAGAGGCTTGTTATAGGGGGCTGGATTCCTGTTCAGGATGAGCAGGTCTAGATGGTCCCTGAGGGGTGTCAGCGAAGCTCTGACTGAAGGATGCACCCCTAAATGAGGCTTGAACCCATAAAAATAACTCTCATTTCCAAAGCTCTTGGAGGGTTGTTTCCCAGCACCCCCTTGTGAGGTAGGCAGGCACAGGACTGAGGTCCCCATTTTCCAGCTGAAGTCATTCGCCCAAGGTCGCACTCACGCAGCAGTACCTGCAGCCTGGTGACTGCCCACCTTGGAATTTCCAGGGCGCTCTCTTCTGTCTCCTAAGGGCCTCCCTCCTCCGAGCCCCCGCTCACTGGAGGACCTTGGGGGTGGAGGGCGAGGGGCAGCAGGAGTGGATGTCGGGGCTGGCCAGGCAGCTCACCCAGGGTGGGCGCAGTTCCCGGAATGGCCACAAGGTGGCGGTGGAAGCTGGTGCACGGTCCCAGCGCTGGGAGGGGGCCAGAGATCGCAGGAAACTCCTGCGGCGCAGCCAGGCCCATGCTGGCAGCCCCAGGGCACCAGTGCCACCCTCTCCCTCCGCCTGCAGGCTTCCATTTCCCCCAGGACTCCCTGGCCCAGATCCAGGGGAAGGTCAGCATGTACCACCGGGTAGTGGAGACCCTGAAGTTTGCCAGTGGGCTGAAGTGGGTGCTGAGAGATCCCCGGAGCTGCCCAGAGTGCCCGGTGAGGACCTGGAGCAGGGGCCGGGACAGCGGCCCCGGGGGCCCCAACTGCAGCACCAAGCCCGATGGTGTACAGAAGGGGTGGGGGGGTATGGCTCGTGGGGGGCCCGAGACAAGGCTCCCAGGGCCTCAGCTGCCCCTCTGGCCCTGTGCAGGCCCTGTACCTAGACCTGCTGACTGAGGAGTTGGCCCAGAAGGTCCGGGACTTGATCAGCCCCCAGGGCAACCACACACCCAGCTACTACAACATCAGCTTGCCCAGCATGGGGGGGCAGGAGGTGGGTACCTCCCATGTGGCCATCCTGGGCCCGGATGGCAGTGCCGTGTCTGCCACCAGCACCATCAACACCCCGTGAGTACAGAAGGCCTGGCTAGGAAGGGGCAACCTCCTCCCAGCAAGAGGGGGAGGGCGGGGTTGAGGGGACGAGGAAGGGGTTAGCCTTGGCTGGGCAGAGGGAGGGCTTCCCATCCTCTGAAACCCGGGGGAAGGAGCAGAGGCCGGGGGCAGGTGTCTGACAGCTCGTGGGGTGGCACACGCTGGTCTTTGTCAATCACCTTCCTGTGCAAGGACCCCCTACACACACACCCCTCCTCCCACCCTATGGGCCATGGGCTCTAGAAGGCTCTGCTGCCATAGCCCCACAAAGCTGGATTGACTGAGAACCAAGGCCCCCAGGGGTCCTTGTCTGGCCCATGAACACCATCCTGTCTTAAGGTCAGAGGGATCCCCCCAAGGACAACGAGGGTTTGAGCCACAATCCACAAGAACTGACTCGGGGAGGGGTTGTGCGCTCTTCATTTGCTTGGATGGAGAAACGACCGTGCTTATAAGCACCCGCAGTGACTCAAGACAGAGTCCCTGCCTCCAAGACCTTCCATTGTCCAGGTTGGCTGGGTATGTATCCACACAAGGAGGTCCTTAGTAATGTGGGCTCCTGCAAATCTGCAGAGGGAGAGAAATCCGGCTCGCCTAAGATCAGGGCAGGCTTCCCATAGGAGGCAGCAGCCTCGAAGGGACACCCAAGGCAGATGGACATGAGGAGGGAGGGTACTGCCCAACGAGGCCCCTGGAAACAGCCGCGAGGCCGGTCGGGCCTGCGTGTCCGGTGTGTGGAGATATTTGGGAGCCACAGCAACTCAAGATGAAGGTGCAGCTCATGGGCAGCTAGTAACATCAGCTTCTGGGTCAGGAGCGGTGGGTGAGGTGTGCGGCCAGTGAGAGATCCGGGAGAATCAGAGGGCAGCAGGAGTCGCTCACGCATGAAGGAAGGGGGGCACTCCCCAAGACGCCGAGCAGTGAGACGCCCACTTCTTACGGCTGCCTGCCGGGCTGCGGTCGTGGACAGAAGGCCAGCGACCCCTGGGGAAGGTGGCCGGAGAGAGGGAAGTAGTCTGGGAGGACAAAAGCCCGACTCTGCCTCGCAGCCAGCGCCCCTCCAAAGACAAGCATTCCTGCTTTGCGGAAGGGGTCCCCCGCCACGAACACTGCTCACCGGCATGGTCGCGAGACAAAAGACAGACAAGACCGCGGGTGCCAGCGCCCCAGAGGAAAGGCTCTCAGCCAGCTCCCAGAATCCTCGGGCTGCGCCACCCCTTTGGAGCTGATTCAAGGCAGACAAAGATGCCCCCCAATGGGGATTAAGCACAGCAGATGCCCGCTCTTAGCAAGACTGAGATTCCTGCTTTCCGAAAGTCCAGGGCCCTCCCTGAAGGGGGCAGTTCAAGGAGGTCTGGGAGGATTCTGGGGAATCCAGACTTCAGACCAGGACCCTGGCCTCCCTGTAGCCTGCCCCAGGTTCACGGGCCAGAGGAAAGGATAGCGGCTTCAGGGTTCGAGGACCAGGCTGGAACCCAACCTCTGCACCCGCTGCCCATCTGATCTGGGGCCCCACTCTCAGCCTCTCCAAGTCTCTGTTACCTCATCTGTAACGCGAGGGCGCTGGAATGAGATGGCCTCTAGGGTCCTTCCCAGAAGCCCAGGTCCAATGGGAGGGATGCCATGTGACCAGGAGCCACTATTAACCAAGAGGACCCGGTGGTTAGGAGATGGAAGCAGAGGCCCTGCCCTCAGGGGGCTCCCAGTCTGATCCAGAGGAGGACAGGTGGAGAGCTGAGGGGAGAGGAAGGGTCCTGGGCCAAGGCAGGCTGTGGGAGGTCCCGGGACAGGCACAAGCTGAGGGTGGTCAAGCGAGTGAACCAACAAGCCCGATGGGAGGGCCAGTGAGATAAAAACACGGCAGAGGGGCCCAGAAAGTCAGGGGAGCGAGCCAGGGGGCGCACCGGAGCTGGCCTTGGGGAAGGATTATGCCAGCTCTCCAGGTAGACAGTCACCTAGGACTGAGGCCTCGCTGGCAAAGAAGAGGAACAGGGCGAGATTCCAGGAGGGAGGGAGCCCCTATAGCTAGAGTGAGATGCATCCAAGGGGGCCGCATGAGGGAAGTGGTCCCCAGCCCAGACTGCCGTCAAGGACTCTGGGCAGGAGTCGCCAGCCTGGGGAAAGACAGAAGTGGGCGCAGGGGGGCGAGCCGAAGGTCAGGCAGACTGAGGCCAGCTGCTCCAAGGAGACGAGGGAGCCCCCACGCAGGGTAGGAGAATCTGGAGGGCAAGGGGCGCTGCCCAGCCGGGCCTGCTTCTATCTCCCCAGGTTCGGCTCCATGGTGTATTCCCCAAAGACTGGCCTCATTCTCAACAACCAGCTACTGGACCTCTGCTGGAGGACGACTCCAGGCTCCAGCGTGCTGCTGAGCCCAGGTAAGGGCAAGCGTTTATGAAGCACCTACTGTGTGCGGGGGCAGGCGTCTAGAGCCCTTCCCGGACCCACAGGAGCCTGGGCTGAGCAGGAGCCAAAGGCGCTCACCTGCCCACAAGGGTTTTACACCTGGCTCTCTTAGCCACATTAAGCACTTTCCTTGGGGCACACGTCGAGCCCGGGGCCTCTCGGGGTCAGACCGTGGGTCTTGGGTTGCTTTTTGCCTTCTAGAATGGTTTGACCAATCCCCAGCTCTGCCAGCCAGGAGTAGCACGCCTGTCTGCCCACAGCACCTCCAACATTGCCTCTGGTTGTCTGGTCACCTTTGACCACTGGCTGGATGTGAGGTGAAACCTCAGGGTTGTTCGAAGTTATGTTTCTTATTATTAGTGATTTGGGATAATCTCTCTTATCTTGGCTAACAATTTGCAGTTCTTGTCTTGAGACTGGCTTGTTCATATCCTTCCGCCATTTAGCCACTGGGGAATGGTCCTCGGTCTTATACATTTGTGCTAATTCCTCTTAAGTCTTAAATGCCAGACCCTCTGTGAGAGATGTTTAATGTGAACAGTAGGGCATTGACTCAGTCTCCCACCCTACTCCCCTAAAGTAACTACCTTTACCTAGTGAGAACACCTTCAGCAAGCAAGGTCAGGCATTAAACTAGGTGCCTCCTCAGTTTGAAAGGGGTGAAGCCACGGGGTGAAGAGAAATGACTGCACAGGAACCGTGTCTGGGAGCCTCAGTCGGGCCCTGTGGGTCTTGGATAAAACAGCAAGCCACTTCCGAAGCTGGGCTTGGAGTATCTGGGGGTCCAGCCGCCCTGGAGGAGACATCTCTCCAGCCAGCCGGAAGACAAGGAATCCCTTCTGGGGAGAAGTGGAGAGAAGGCATTCCATCTATTCTTCAACCTTGATACCTTGATAGCCTAGATAGACAGAAGACTTGGGCTTGCTATGGGCATCCCAGTCACGTCCCCAAGCCACGAAGGAGGACTCCCCTCGTACCAGGAGAGAGGAGCTGCCCCATCACCAGCCACGCACGTGCCCGTCACTGCCCCCTGCTTTGCTGCTGTTTTGCACTCAGGCTGCCCATGGAAGGGGGGTGGGGATGGCAACTCCAGACCCTGTGCTGCAAGGGGGGCGGTCCTCATCTTGTCACGTTTGCTGAGATCCATGAGGGAGATTCTCCACCCGGGCTTCTAGTTAATGGGTAGCCTAGATTCCAGGGTCCAAGAGAAGGAAAGAATACGGCCCCTCAATTTTTCCTTTAAACTGTGACTCCACAGTACCGAGTTTTCCCCTGTGACTCGGCGCCAGTGCAAGTCAGACTTTTGCCTCCTTGGATGCTTACGCAATATTTGTTTGGGGCCATCCAAGGGGGAGGCTCAGAGCACCTCTAAGTACCAACATGGAGGGGCAGCTAGGTGGCACAATGGACAGAGCACCGGCCCTGAAGTCAGGAGGACCTGAGTTCAAATCCGACCTCAGATCAAACACTTGACGCTTACTAGCTGTGTGACCCTGGGCAAGTCACTTAATCCCAATTGCCTTAAAACAAAAAAATAAAATAAAATAAAATAAACAAGTAAGTACCAACATGGAGCAGTTTGCCCCGAGATAACTCACAAATGTTCAGGTTTTGTCTTCATACTCTTAAGTAGACCTGGGAGGTTTGCCCGATTGTGCCATGCATTGAGGCAGCTTTCTTGAGCTCCTCACGGTCAACCAGTCCATAGAACAAGGTTTGCCTGCTGGCTCAGGAGCCCACTCTAAGTACTTAACCCCTTTGGGGAGCCCCACACCTCTTTGAGGACTTTTCTGAGTATGTTTCTCTGATTGAACCCACTTGTGAGGGGTGAGTTAGGAACCCCTCAGGGCCCCCTGGGGAGAATCGGAGGTGTCCTCGGCTCCTGGTGTAGACTCTGATGACAGTCATCGCTGTTCCTAGGACGCTGCCAGGACACCCACGAGGTGGCCAGTCTTCTGACCTTTGGTACAAGGACCCAGAGGAAATGTGCTTGAATTTTGAAATCGGCTATGGCACAGGGACATGCCCAGTGTAGGACCGGCAGGTGGCGCCATAGTGCACAGAGCACTGGACTTGGAATGAAGAAGACTTGGAATGAAGAAGACTCGGTCTTCCTGAGTTCAAATGTGGCCTCAGACACTTGCTAGCTGTGTGACCCTGGGCAAGTCACTTCACCCTGTTAGCCTCAGTTTCTTCACCTGCAAAATGAACTGAAGAAGGAAATGGCAAACCGCACCAGTATCTGTGCCAAGAAAACCCAAAATGGGGTCACAAAGAGTCGGACGCGACTGAAAAACAATTGAACGTCAGTAGAAAGGGATACCTAGAAATTTTTTCTGGACTCTAAGACCCCAAAGCTACTCTGTGGCTTTATTCCCCCAGAGAATTATGGAAGAATTTTTCTTCAGGACGGTTTATTTTCTCATCTGAAGGGTAAGGGGGTAATTTCCAGGAGATCCTACACTCCTAATCCCCAAGGAGAGAGCTCCACGTGCTGGAGACACTCCAAGGGGCCAGGATTTTCTTCTGAGAAAGGAGGTTTGATTTTCTTTTCCTTTTTTTCTTTTCCATATCATATTCTGGGTCAGAGAAGACTGTTTGCAATCCCCAAGACGAGCACTAACCGATGAGAATTTTGCAAAATTATCATTTGTTAAGTTGTATTGCCATGGACGGGGAAGAATGTGGAAGAATGTTGATTATCGATTGTGATCTTGGACTGTGCCCCATAGACTTTTCCTGAAACTCTTTGGGACAAAACAGTAAGGAAGACCGTCCAAAAGCCCTAAACTTGCCCGGATCCCTAAGGAGTTCTCTGGATCTGGGGCTGCTGCCAAGTGCAGTCCAGCAGATTTGCTGAGGACAGCAAATAGTCAATGTCATGCAAGGGGTAGGGGGAGAAAGCATAAAGCTGAAGAGTCAGTGAATAATTGGGCCCCCACCCCACTTTGTCAGGTGACAACATCCTTTTTGAATCAATTAATCGATCAGAGGCATAACACATCCTCAAGCCATTGGGAAGAAGGAAAAGCGTTCCACACAGGAAGTATATAGGGATCCGTTAGAGACTCAGTCGCATCTCGTGGGGCTGGGGTTCAAGGGCAAACTGGCTGGAAGACCAGGCACTGGCGTGGCAGAGACCCGTATCAGCCCTTGCTTCTCCTAGCGAAGCCCTGGCAGGGTCTGTCTCCTTGCCCTCCCCTCTTCTTTGGCGAGAGGATGACCATGAAAAGGTCAGAAGATTTTGGACATCTCGTGGGGTCCTGGCAGTGTCCTGGGAACAGCAATGACAGTCTACACCAGGAGCCAAGGACAAGATGGCCAAAGTAACTACAAAGAGCCAGCAGGAAGCTATACCATAGAAGGAGAACTCTGGGATGACCCCACACGGGCAGAAAAGGACTTGTCTCCAACCAGGAGCTGTGCAGCTTTACCTCCTTTGCCTTCTGAGCTCCCTGGACTCTGTATGTACTTGTGGGAGAGTACGTCCCAACCTTTGAGGAGATGTTCTTGGACATAGCAAAGACCTGTCTCTAAAAGCTAAATAAATCGGGTTAGCTCCTGGATAGCAACCGATCACCAAGAGGGAGGCTTACGGCTGGGGGCAAATGAACAGGAGCAGCAGAACACCTCCAGCCCCTCGGGATTGCCCCGAGGACCCGAGGGCAGGAGGAGACCCCTCCCTCTCCTGCATTCTGCAATCCTGCCAAGCTCTCCTTGGCTGTTTTTCTCACCCAGGACACTCCATCGCACGTGTCTTTCCATCTGTCTCATAAGCAACTCAAGCAGAATCTTCTCTCGCTGAGCTCCTACTAAGCGCCAGACAAAATGAAGAGAAGTGGATGAGTCCCTGGCACTATTCAGAGTCCTTCCACTGAGGGAAGAGAGGTAGAAAGAAATCAAATGCCGGCACAGGATGCCCCAAATGGAGCCAGTTATGTTCTCCTCAATCCCACTTTGGATGAAACACCAAGTTTCTTCAGCAGGGTCCCCACCAGTGGTGCCAAGCCCCAGTTAGCAGCAGCAGCATCTGCAGCAGAGGGGCGAGCTCTCAGCCGAAGGCAGACGCCCTGGCTGACCACGATTCACAGTTCTGTGGACCCATGTCGGCAGGAAGGCTTTGCCTTTGATCCCAGGGCTCCCCTTGCCCCCCTGTGGAGACTGCAGAGGACAGTTTTTGCTACCTCGGGCCATCAGAGCTGGGCGATGGGAGCAGCTTGCCCAGCTGCAACATCTGCTGGAATTCCCCCTTAGGGAAGGAAGCCCCTGAGAAACCCCTCCGGTCTTCTCTCTCTGGGGAAGGGGGGATTCTGAGAGGCCAAGGAGGGCTTGCTGGTCAGTGAGGTAGAATCTCTCTGTCAGTTCCAGGGGAAAGGCCCCCCTCTTCCATGGTACCATCCATCTTGATCTCCAAAGATCAGAAGTCCAAGCTGGTGATCGGGGGCTCCGGAGGGCAATTAATCATTCCAGCCACAGCTTTGGTGAGTGAGTCAGCCACGCTTGTCTCCTCTGCTCTCCCAGACAGCCTGGGCACTGAGCCCCACCCCATGCCCATGCCTATCCCCAGGCAACCTAGAGGTAGTAGGTCACATGCTGGGGTCGGAGGGGCCCCAGTTCCTCCCCATGTGTCTGCTCAACACCAGCCCCACCTTTGCCTCACCTGCCCAAGGCAGGCAGCTCTCCTTAGCCCAGATTCCTGGTGCCCGCTGATGAGGATCCAGTGTCCAATGCCGGGACAGGTTAGCTGGATTAGGGTCCTGGCGCTGCCATGGCCCGCCTGAGTGGACAAGGGCACCAGCAATGCTCAGTGACGCCCAAGGGCCTTTCCAGCTAGACCACTGGCAGAACAGACCTGCCTTGCCCAGTGTGTGGTATCTGTGCCCAGCAACTATGGCCCTGTACCTGGTCCCCTGGCCAGTGTCCAAGGCCTCTGTCACTGCAGCCACTCCCTCCTGTCCCCAGGCCATCATGAACAGCCTATGGTTTGGTCTGGACCTTCACGAAGCCATCAAGGCAAAAATTCTCCACGTGAGTCCCACAACCAAGGTTCAGTTTGAGCCAGGCTTCGACCAGGTGAGTCTGCAGGACCATGGCCCTGCCCCTGCCCCTGCCCCACTGGGCCCCTCCCTGGGTCTAGGCTTCCCTGGGGTGCCCCGGGCTACCCTCATCCCCAGGTAGCTGCCAGGGTGGAGTGGGGACCTGCTCTGTGGGGGGTAGGAAGGTGTCTGGCAGCCCCAGGCCAGGTCTTTCCTGCCCACTGCCTCCTGCTGCAGGAGGTCCAGGATGAGCTCATTAGCTGTGGACATGAATATCAAAAAAACCCCTTCTGGCTGAATGTGGTCCAAGCCGTGGCCAGAGACAAGCTGGGCTGCATCTACGGGGAATCGGATGAGAGGAAGCTGGGGGAGGCAGCTGGCTACTGAGCCCGGGCTAGACCCAAGCCATGCCCACCTGGCCAGCTCATCCACAACAGAGTCACCCGGCCCACCGGGCAGCGAGGAGCCATGGGACCACATTGCCTGTGCTGGATTTTTAGAGAAAGATAAGAAAGGAGGGGGGTGATGACCCATCCCTGCGTGTCCTTGGGAGCGGCTGGGACCTTGGGCTATCAGAAGTGGGTCAATGAAGTCCAAGCTTCCAGAACGACCTGGAGAGGACCGGCCTGGGCTAAACTTGGGAGGCTTCCCTTCAGGGGGCTGCCACTCTCAGAGACTGGGGGCAGTGATCTGGGTCAAAGCAGGCGGACCATGCCTGGGAGGCTGCAGATTTGTCATTTGTCATCCAAGCCCAGACCCCAACCTGTGGGAGGAGGCTTTCCATCTGTCTACTCAGCCATCATTGATTAAATAGACCTCTTTGTTGTTGAGTCACTTCTTGGCACAGACAACGGAGGGGTTTTGCCATTGCCTTCTCCAGCTCATTTGGCAGATGAGAAAACTGAGGCAAACAGGGTGAAGTGACTTGCCCAGGGTCACACAGCTAGCAAGTGTCTGAGGCCAGATTTGAACTCAGGTCTTCCTGATTTCAGGTTGGGAGTTCTATCCACTAGCTCCCACCCCGTTAAGCACCTACTATGTGCTTAACACTGTGTTAAGCACTAGGCATCCAAAGAAAGGCCAAAGACAGTCCCTGCCCTCAAGGAACTGTCAATCTAATAGGAGAGACCAGCAAACAGCTATGTCCAAAGTAGTTATGACTGGATGGTAACAGAATCAAGAGTGGTTGGGAGGTGGGGTTTTAGATGGGACTGAGAGGAAGCAGAGGGGGTAAGGGGGAGGCAGGGGGCAGAGGAGGAGGGAGGGAGAGTGTTCCAGGTCTGGGGGGAACAGCCAGAGAGAATGGCTGTGTTTGTGGGACAGCCGGAGGCCATTGGATTGAAGAGTACGCACATGGGCAGGTGTGTGTGTGTGTGTGTGTGTGTGTGTGTAAGACTAGAAAAGTGCAGTGAGACTCATTCCAGACCCAAGAGTTGGGTAGGGAAGGCTCTTCCTCCCCAGTTTACAGACAGGAAGACTGAGGCTCAAAGCCAGGAGGGATTCCAAAGGTCCCAACAAGTTAGGGTCCCCGTCACAACCAGGAGCCCCAGCTAGCCCCTGCCTGTGCCCCATCCTTTTGCCACCTCTGGTTTTAGGCAGGGGCATGGGTAGTCAGGAGTGGGCTGGAACTGCATCAAGGATGTGAAGTCTGGCCCCAGCTGAGGCAGTGAGGCCCAGGGCCCATGGAGTTGGGGAGGAGAATGGTCTCTAGCACAATATCTAGTAATAATCCTAGCCAACACTTAGGTGGCACTGACTCTGTGCCAGGCACCATGCCAAAGCGCTTCACAAATATCATCTCATTTGATCCTTACAACCACCCTGGGAGGGAGGTACTATTATTATCCCCATTTCACGGATGAGGAAACTGAGGCACAGAGGTAAAGTGACTTGCCCAGGGTCACACAGCTAGTAAGTATCTGCTGCTGGGAGGACTCTGCCACTGCACCCCCTAACTGTCTTTTATTCCTTCAGTTCACCCTGCTGCCCACACCCACGGTTCCCTGCAGACGGGCTGAGTTCTTAAGCGCTTCAGTCCCCAGAAGCTCCTGGCAACGAGCTTGCTCGGCCCAGGTCTCACAGCCCCCTTTCCCCCATGCCTCAGGAATTCTCAGAGAGCCCACGATAAAAATGGGTAGAGTTAACAAAGAATGCTGGTTACCAGAGGGACAGTGCGCAGAGTTGAAGCTCCACCTTCCCCTCATAATAGCCATCTCCAGCTAAGTTCATCTGTCCAGGGGGCTCGGGCAGCAGCTTTGGTGGAAGCAGAAGTCCTGTGCCTTCTGCCCCTTGTTAGTCAGGCAAGCCTTCCTGGGGGAGAAAGTACAGCTGGTGTCATAGGTCAGCAACCCCCAGGTCTGCTCCCAGCTTCATTGCCTGCTTCTCCAGTTAGAGTGGCCCCCTCAGGCTCTCCACCGCGTGGAACTGGAAATGGACACAAACACATAAAACTAACACACCACACAAGGAGGACGGAAGGGTACGGGACCTGGGCCCGTTCCTCTAGCCAACCGGTTCCTCTGGCCATCCACGGCTCCTCTGGCCGTCCATCTGCAGCTCCTCTGACTGGCTGGTCACAGCTCCTCTGGCTGGCCATCTGCGGCTCCTCTGGCTTTCCATCCACGGCTCCTCTGGCCATCCATGGCCCCTCTGGCCAGCTGGCCACAGCTCCTCTGGCTGTCCATCCATGTCTCTTCTGCCCATATTTTGAGCCATCATGTTCAAGCAGAGCCATAACTAAGAATCTGTGTGTCTGGGGCGCGGAGGACCAGTAGACTCAGGACCCGCAGCCATGAGGAGACAAGTGTGCCTGGCATGGCCACTGCTTGTGTAGAGGGGAGGGATGCGTAGGGCAGGGCCCCTCATTGAATCCATTCTAGCTCTTGCTGCCCAGCATTGCCACCCCTGCCTGTCTAGCTTCCTAAAGACTGTCCGGGGGCTCCCCAGGCCCTGTAAGGACGCCCTAGTCCTGTGAATGCTCTGAGCCCCCATCCCTCAAGGCTTCCCCAAGCATTCCTGGAGTCCTTCCACCCCATCTCCCAGTCCCGAGCCCTCAGTGGGCTAGAAGGACAATTCAGTGTCCCATTCCTGCGGCAGGAGGAGAAGGGTGGGGCAGAGCACGACACATTTCTCAGGCCAGGGGCAGGCCCACTAGGTTCAGCTCCGGAAGACTGAGGTGGCCACCTGCCTCAGGTTAGGCTTTAGAAAGCAAGGGAGTTCAGAAAATAGTGGAAGTACAGAACCCTAGGTCTAGGGACAAAGTCCCCCCTGGCCTGTGGCAAAAGGGAAGCTTCCTGCATTCGAGGTTGGAAGGCCAAAGACCAGGATCTGCTGAGATCTGTCCCACCCTCTCCCCTGTCCACTCAAACATGGGGGTGGGGGAATAAAAACAGTTCCTGCCTTGAGTGAGCTTAGATCCTTCTGAGGGAAAACAACGCGTGCACAGTTAAGGAAATGCATGGCAGTTGGAGAAGGGAGACAGATCTAGGAAGCTAAGGAAAAACGATACCTGAGTTGAGCCTTGAAGGACATTTTAAGTTCCAAAAGGCCAAGGAGACAGTATTCCAAGTGTAGCATCAACGCCCCCCCCCCCCATGAAGGCTCACTGTCCCCACTCTCTCACACAGCCAGAGAGTGGCTCGCAATTTATCCTCAGAGTTTTTGGTGGTAACCCTACAGGATTAAGGTTTCTAGTATTGTCACTCATGAGCCCCCATCTAGTGTGCTCCCTATTGATGATCAGCCAGTGAGCCCAATCAGCTTTTTGGAAAGGGCATTTTCTAAGGTAGTGTAATAAACACAAAATATTTTCCCCACAGCTTCACAGGAAAGAACTTGGGGGAGGTCACGTTCTCTAATCATAAGTGTCCCTCAGGTTTCTGCGCTGAGTCCTCTTCTCCCTCTCTATTATCTCACTGGGTGATCTCATCAGCTCCCATTGATTAAATGACCATCTCTGTGCTGATGATTCTCAAATCTCCCTTTTCTGCCCCAGCCTCTCTGCTGACCTCCAGTCTTGCATCTCTGACTGCCTCTCAGGCATCTCCAACTGGTTGTCCTGTAGACATCTTAAACTAGATGTGTCCAAAACAGTTCATTATCTTTCCCCCTAAATCATCTCCACCTCCTAGCTTCCCTATCATTGTGGAAGGCACTGCCATCCTCCTACTCCCTCAGGCTCCCAACCTAGGAGTCATCTTGAATGCCTCACTCTCTTTCATCCTCCATATTCAGACTAGGTCAATGTCAGCCTCCGGCCCAGGTGCTCAGGGAGGACAGCCGGCATCTGTGTCTGCCAAGGTGGCAAAAGCCATCAGGGAGCAGGAGAGAAGGAAGGATCAGAAGAAGAAACTGGGGGTGCTACACTGGGAGGAGACTCAGAGAGGAGCCAGCAGAGGTGAGAGATCACCTAAGAAGGCTGAACTTGGCTCTGCTTAGCCCACGGGCTCAGAACTGGGAGCCTGAGGAGGTGAGATTGTGAAGCTCTCAGCGTAGTGCCCCGAATATAGTTAACACTTAAATGCTTCCTCCCTCTCTTCCTTCTTTCTTTCCTTCCTTCCTTCTAGTGCTGCCTCTGAAGGTCTTTCAACAAAGGCTGGAGGACCGCTGGTAAGACAAGAAGGGATGAGAGTGAAAGAGAGCTGAGCCATGAAAGCCGCAGAGGGATTCAGGCCAGGGCATCAGGGAGTGACCAGGGCTGAAGCCAGGCTGTCCAGGAGCCCTACTCAGTGACTGCCAGACTGCCCTGATACTAGGAAGTCTGTTTTGCAGGGGGCCTGGGCTGGCCCTTCCCCCACTGAACTCCAGAACCCTGGCACCATCCCCCTCCTCACACCACCCCCCTCCTCACACTGTGAATAAGGGCTCTGTGTGTAAAGGTCAGAACGAGACCAGGCTGCCAGAACGGAGAGTCACATGATGTGGGATCTGCGCCAAGGCCCAGCTGGCCAGCCAGCTCGTTGGTTCTAATGCCTGTCCCATTTCCAGGTAGTACATCCTCTGGACACCCACCAGACAGCTCTGGGATGTCCTGCCTCATGAGAGCACAAGATCAGTCCGTGGTCGAAACGCTGGGTCATCCGCAGCCCCCACCTCCATCCACAGTGCCTCCCCTCCCCCCACATGGCACGGCCCTTCAGGGTAGGTGTGTTCTTGACCCTGGCCTGAAGACTGGAGCTCCCTGGGGGCCTAGCCCCTTTTCATTAGCTCTGTGTCAGCTCAGATCCAGGTCCCCAAGAACCATTTCTGTGCCTTCATTTCTCCACTGCAGGCAGAGGGGTTAGGGCTAGGTCAAGGGTCAGCTCCCAGAGCCTGCTCTTTGCGAGCCTGATTCCCCATTCTGTCCCTTCCTGCACTCTCCATTCCAGGCAAGCTGGCCTAGAAGGTATTCACTGTCCTGGACATGCCATCTCATGCCTCTGCCGCCTTTGTGTAGGTAAGCTCCTAGGCCCCAGATTCCCTCCCTTTTCACCCCCTCCCAGCTTCCTTCCAAGCACAGAGAGCTCGAGTGCCACCTTCAACCTGAGGGCTTTTCCCATGCCCTCATTATTGATGTTCTCTGTTTGAGAGCGCTTTGCACAGCTTTGTGTTTCTATCTCCTGTCATATGTTGTATCCCCGGGTAAAGTCCCTGAGGGCAAGGCCTATCTCCCTTTGGTCTTTGCATCCCCATCACCAGTGCAGTGTCGGACACATAGAAGGGCGTAATCGGTCCAATCACTGGCAATCACCACTCCTCATGTCCAGCCTACCCCATGCCATCTCACCCCAGGTGGGCCTGTCTCCCTACGTCCAGCCC